GTTGCAAGTGCATTTCCTCCTAACGGTTGTTAAGGTTATCGGCCGTTTTCTTTGCAAATAAACCCTGCCCCTTAAAGTTCGCACATAGTAAAAGCCAAGTATTAAATGCCATTGTCAGAGAGCAAATAATCAAACGACTGAAAGCTATTCATACCCACATCGCGTATTGGGGCTTCTTGTGTCTGTTATACGACTAGAACGGCAGTATCATAATCGTCGTACATGTATTTATGTATTTTTATGTGAACTGTACGGAATAACGCACAATGAATAGGGCTGACTCCAGGCCCATTTTCCTATTCGTGCAAGCGATTCGGGCGAACATGGGGGGTCGGAGGGTGATATCGTAAAGATATCATCCATCGTCGGTCCAAAGCACAGACGACATCTTTGTTGTTGATGCTGTTGCGCTCTCAAAGGCATCCCTCAACATGCCGATGATGACAACAACAACGGTAGTAAATGTGCTTAAGGGCTGCCGTTTCTTTTGTTGTAACGGGGATTCGATTGTTGTTGTTGCTGCCCTTGTTCGTGAAGGTGCATTCATGAAGCATTTACTTCAACTGCTGCTTCTCCTATAACGTTTGGTGTTTTTACTTTTCTTCGTCTTCGACGCACGATCATTGCCTGCGCCGGCGTCTGTATGAAAACTATGATGTAGTAAAGAGTAAGGGGCATCTCTACCTTCTTTATTTAGCCCTCAGTGCTGCAGTTACCCTCGCCAGTGCCGTTGGCGTTTCTGCGGTGCGAGGTTTCAATTGTTGTAACATACTCCTTTCAGATATGGAAGAGCAATCTTTTGTGCAAGTTTTGCAATTCAAGTCGTTGTGAGAAAGCCCAGAATTTTGCCCACCATGTCCTATCTATATTGATATTCGCGTACGACATGTTTAAATATAGCATATGGCTGGGTTATTTGAAATGTTCATCCATAACTTTTATTTGTAGTTGCCTGATTTTTCGTTGGAAACTTGGAATAGACCGCACGTAAGCGACGACAACGATCGCAGTTACATTATGGTCATTTTGGTTGTTAATTTCAAAAATCTAGGAAGTAAATTGAAATTAGAAACTTTAAGAAATTCTGCGATAACCGATAGTTCCTTTCCTTTTCCCTCTTGATTTCGCGTTTCAAAGCTAGGAAACTTCTTTGTTTGTCGCTCTCCCTACTCCAGACCCCAGGCTCTCTGTCTTTAACCTTGACTTTCAAATGCCACGCGTCGTCTTCCGCCAGACTTTAACTTCCAGTAGAAACTGACGAATCGTAAAGTCAAATAGTGGGACACCCAAAAAGTGAACCAACAAAAGGGAGTGTAAAGGAGTCAGACGCTTACAGGGCGACGTTAGGATGTCGAGTTGCGTATTATTATTCTATTTTAATTTCCCACTTTTGCTGTTTTTCATTGCTTGTTGTCTGTTGCTGCCGTTGTTAATAATAAACCTTTTTTTTTGCCCCACTGCGGAAACAGGTAGCTGGGCATAGATGGGCATGACTGAGCTGGTTCCCTTACTCGAGACGTTACCCGTCATCGCTGTCGGGATATTTCTAAAAATATCAACATTAACAGCAACAACAGCACTAGCAGCTGTGCCTCCAGCTGCAGAGTAAGTGTTATCAAGAGTCCAGTTGCTGGTGACGTTGCCCACAAAAGAAGACGGAATCCCTGGGTATTCAGAAAAGTTCCTTCAGAATCTGGCGAGGTATTCTCAGCAACGAGCCTCAGCGACACACGGCAACTTTATCATTTTGCTATTCCGTCGCTGCGCTTGGTACTGCGTCAAAAACTTCCTGAAGTTCTAGCTTCGTTCCCTGTTTCTTTGTCAGTTTCTTCCTTTTCTCTTAGCGTCCCTCCTCATCACCCCTTCTTGCAGTAGCCAATGCCGCTCGGCGCTGCTTCCTTCGACAAATTTATAGATAGTACAAGTACATTTGTAGAGAAGTGCTCGTAGACACGAATGCAAAGACACTCAAGCACAAAATATGGCGTCTCAGCAGACGACAGACAAAACGGCACGCTGCTAGGATCATATAGACAGGACTAAACCAAAGGAGTCGAGCCTCAGTATCGAACTGGGAATCGCAACGAAATCGAAGGGGAATCAGGACCAGAAACGTAGAATTAATCCGACCGCTAAACACAACGTAATGCTGCAACAATAGCATGGAACAATGGACCTGAGGCAAGCCTTGCGCCCGTACTAAATCGCTGATCGGATATAAACGATTTCAATAACAGGTCCGATGCTTGATATGCTGTGTTTATCCCTGGCCTGCTGGGTTAGGGTCGTTTCAAACTGAATTGTGCAGACCCACGTTATTTGACATCAGCTTGAGCTTGGCAAATTTGTAAGATGTCTCAATTTTAAAATTACAATAGGTAACCGTGTCATTCACTAAGAAGCACGCTAATATGATACAAATAATGAAAGTGTTTTACATGATTACGCATTATTTCTAGCAGAACTTTCTAAATTTTCGATGAAACTGTTATTGACTTGCTCAAATCTTCGAAATTTAATTAATATAAGCGTCTATTGTTGATTTAATTATTTATAGATGATAGAAAGGGAATCGTTAGACAATGTATGAAGCATGGCGGGTGGAGATCTCTCTTCCTATGGAAATGCAATCAAGTCTTCTTTAATCAAGGGTCGAATGCACGTCCCTTATCAGTGATGGTACAACAGCTTCGTCTTGATAATAGTATAAGAAGCCTTCTTCTTCCAGAAAAATTGCCATTGTGCTGGGTAATCATTACACACCGTTCTGATAGTTTTCGGCTCGACTGTACCAGCCATGCAATGCATTTATCATTAAGAACGGTTAGACGATTTACAAGACACAGGACGGAAAGACAGTATGTTTTTGTGGCTTGCTTCTTTCGACCACTGGTCTACACAGAATTTTTATTAATAACATCAACAAAAACAATCGTTTAATGGTGAAAAAGTGAAGAACCGTTAACACGCCAACATTTAACAGTTCTATTAACCATAAGCGGATAATATAATCAAATAGTAAATCTCCATCGTTGTTACGTGTCCGCCGTAATTAATATCGCGTATGCGCACACAAAACGGCTACAGTTATGTGGTAACGCGTATTAAGCGTGTACACTTATATCTTTCTATGTAGACATGAATGGTTTGGTAAAGAGGCGCGCAGGGGATGATGTGAAGCGGAGTTCAGTGGCGGCAGCGGCCATGCCGTTAGATCACATCACAGACGACAACGACGACGACGACAACAAAAACAACACCAATGGCGGGAAATCGCTCCTGTCTACAAAATGGAACCACGTGGAAAAAATCAAAATTGCCTAAGCTCCGTCAAGAAGCGGTACAACTTGTTTCGCGTGCCCAAAGAAAAAACTGCAAAAATAATCATGATAATAATAACTCACTTCTCATAATGGTCGACAATACATAGATCGGCCCGCTGCCACAATTAATTTTCCTAGCTATTATTCTTTTATTATTATCCTAGTCAAATTATCCTAACTTTGCTTCTTCAAATGTGTTTGAGGGGTAATGTAACATTGACTGGATAGCAGTGTATCGGAAAACACAATGTGCCTATGTGTGGTAAGCTGCTGTGATCGTCGGCAGCGCCTTTTACATCTCTAGCTGCAGATGCCCTTTTAAGTTATTGGCATCCGGTATTTTTTTTAGTTGACTTCCAGTGCCAACTAGCGTTGCCAACACGTCGCCGCGATCAGCATCACAGTAGCTTTCCTTATCCATAGTCAGAGTGTTTCGTTGGGCAGGTGCAGCGACAATGAGCGAGTGAGATCTGCCAGGCAATGCCTGGGCTAATTAGAGACGACAGGACCACTGGCACTTTTTTCTAATACTACTGTATGGACACAAATGGCTTGTGATTTACGGCCTGGTTAGAGTGGGGTTACAAATAGCAGCTCGGTCGCCTCGAACGACGACCTCTGTCCACAAGTCGCTTTCGGCTGCAATCGAATAAGAACGCAGAAAAATTTAGGCAGCGAAAACAGCGAAGGAGATTAAACGACTAAACGAGATCGACGAACGTAGCGACTGGCAATAACGGAAATAGCGTGAAAATAGCGTTGTTTGTTGTCGCTGCTGTCGGTTTTTCTGCTGGTGTCAGCTCCTACGGAACACGACGACGACGAGCACGGCTGGAGTGAGGTCGACGAAGAGATACCACTAGTAGATTGATGAATGCCGTTGCAGAAACCGCACTATTTACCTTACCCGTCTTTCTTTAATACAACTTGTACCTTTTGATCTTTATTCTGTGAAATATATTTATCTCAGCATCTATATATCATGCAATATAAGTAGAAGTATAGCGAACGTTTTGGCGCTTGTACTTTTGCTATTAGTAGTAAAAGAATAAAAAGGTAGAGATGTTGCGCACGTGCGCACATATATACACAAATCATTAAATAAATGATAATAAAAAAAAAAAAACTCTTGTGTTGATGCTCTATAAACGGACGATAAGCGCCTTTACGTACCATTAAAGTTCCATGGGCTAATAAAATTTTGGGTTTACTTTTATCAAGTAGAGAATAAAAAAATAATAAAAGAAATGCTAGTTATTCCTAAGGGAGTGCTGTTCATTCGGCGACACTATGCGTCATCGACTTATTCGTATGATAGTTAGCAAGGAGATGACTGCGTTGGTCTTACCGAATGGTGATGATACGGATAGATGGCTGAAGAGCTGTTGATTAGCTAGGCACCTATGACGCGTGTTAGTAAATGAATCACGAGGGAAGAACTCGCTGAGTATTAGCGGACGTCATAACATGATCGTGGGAACAGTAACACTACCAGCTTGCGGATGGCGTAAGCGCGCAGTATTTTGTTTCGAACTGACGACGCCAAAGTTACTCACAAAACTAGTTAGTATAATATTTAATACGTTTTAGATTAAGGAATAGTATTTGTTTCCTAAAATGTATCATTTTTTAGGTCCTGCAACTAAATCTACATCGTCGTCATAATGTGCTTTTCAGGGAGGATTCGCTCGGGTGCATGAACTAACTGATTTAACATCAAATCGGACCTTTGCTGGAAAAATTATACCCAGATCCCGTCTAACTACAAGCGATCAACGTAAGAAGGTCAGTAATATAGAATAGTAGGATGATTTGCCTATTGCGTATGGATCTTTCTTCCTCCAATGGTTATCGATGCATCTCATCCTGTAATACTCAGTGTGCGCTCTAGTGTACCTGCTTTGACCATAATTGCAAAAATGGTCATTTTGTACTATCGGAATTGAACGTTTGCATTTGACGCTGTCATCTGCTTCGAAGTTACCTAGCAATAATTATCAATGTGTTCATAAGCGGCGACTTAGAGCGTGTTAGAGCTACGGTATGCCAGAATTTCAACAAGGTTCTTACATCTAACATCCGTAGAAGCTGTTGATATTTTTTCCGATCAATTAATAAAAGCAGATTGTCATGTTTAGCTAGAGGAAATCGGTGTCATGATGACTACGGCCGTCCTCCATTGCTATTCTAGTGTATGATAGTTATTCTAACAGTTTCTTTCGCCTCCTGTTCCGCAGTTATACCGTGAAATTGAGATCCACGAGCCGTTGGCACACAAACATGTCGTCCGCTTCCAGCATTTCTTCAAAGATGAACACAATGTCTACATAGTCCTCGAGTACTGCCCCCGCAAGGTCCGTCAATCAACAATTATCAACTTAGTGAAACCCATATACGAGCACGTTTGCTTCGGGTTTGACTATGCAGATTTGACACTAGAGTCGATCTCAAGGAAATTAGTTATAGAGTCACAGGGCATAGAAGTAGACAGAAGATTCTGAAAATGCGCAAGGCACATTAATCTTGTTGACGAGAGACATTTTTTCCTTTTTGGCCTACGAGATTAAATTAATGATTATAGTTATTGCATTTATTCAAAAAAAGTATAAATTACAAAAGCTGTTGGCTCCCGTTGTTGATATGCTTAGTCGCTGGTCCACGTCCTCAAGAACCGAAAAGTTCTCACTGAGCCTGAGGTGCGATACTTTCTGGCACAACTCGTCGATGGCGTCAAGTATATACACTCTCAGGGCGTGATGCATCGTGACCTCAAACTCGGCAATATGTTCCTATCCGATCAGATGCATGTGAAAATTGGCGACTTCGGTCTGGCTGCGAAGGCTTACCTTCATTTGAATAATCACGACGGATCTAAAAAGATGTAAGTTTTAAAACAGATTATTCAAACGTCACGTATAAACCTGCATATTACGTAGATTCATTCGTACGATCTTTTCTCTAATACCAAGACTGCAATAGATCGAACGCCAACACATCGCCTCAGAGATCGTCACCGAAAGAACCCGTACTGAGTTGGTGTGCCGCACAAGGCCCGCCAACCGTCGACCATTTAGTCAATAGCAACAACTTATAAATACGAATGTTGTCGGATGCCTACCTCATTAAACAGCTTCCATGCAACCTTTAAGCCAACGTTGGACAATGTCAAGAGAGCTTTTATATGTAGTTGTTTTTATGCGTCATGAACAGTGTTCATTGTCGAACAGTCACTCTTGGCTGAAGCTTTTCAGAAGCTTTCTCTGAAGAGCTTTTCAGAACAAGAAGGTAACGCACAGCGTTTTAGTTTCTTTCATGAAAAAACCCGCTAGAGGAGCTTTCGCGATTGGTCTCAGCCCGATCTGCCTTGGCAACGCCTAGACGCGTAGAGGTCAGGCCCGTTTAAGTTCCTCTCTTTAATCAGGCCGCTAATTTTACCCTCGATCGCGTTCTGCCTTTTTTGAATATGTAACCTTTGCTCACACGTCCATCGGCTAGTTAAGCTGCTTGAAAGCCCCGCGGTCTCGCTTTTTATCTTTGCAATATTCGGTTAATGAACTTGAATGTAGGATCACCTGTCTTCGTAGTGGAATAAGAATACTTTCAAGCGGTCACTCCGCAGCCTAAACGCAGTATCCACTATTTTGGATATCATGCGGAAGCAAACGTAATTCTAAGGCTGCCAAAATATCGGATAGTATTATGAGGTAGCATCGAACGACCGTTTGACGTGCGAGACAGAAGGTACATTGCGTTTTACGCAAAAGCATTTCTCTGATCGCCGCCAGTCTAGGCTATACCGACCGGCTTACTTGTTGGCCTTCTAGCGCATGCATATATTTCTATTTCGGCTTCTAGTATGTGTGTACTTATAGTAGAAGAATCCGCATAAACGAAACTGCAAGACATGTAAGATCCTAGCTAAAATATAGCTTTTCTCTCTATCCTAACTAGACAGCGAGCGAACTGCGCGACTATGAGGTTGTATTGGGGCTATGTGCTCCAAGATAAGGAAGTCTGAGTAATAAGTGAAGTAAATAAATCCATGATTCGGTTCATTGAATCCATATTCATTGAAATTAATATGCCATTATTCCTCGCTTTTCCCAGCAAATACACGTAGCAAGCCGACCTTAGAAAGGTTTCTGGTATGTAAATTAACTAATGAAAGGTATTGGCTTTTCAACATTATCTTGCATATATTGTCCCTGGCACATAACAAGACACAAGTATTATGGAGTACGAAGAGATAAAAAAAAAGCTGCGACAGAAAAGTACCATTTTCACTAAATGCCAGTGGGTTTTGGGGCTAAACGAATAAATCATATGCCCTGCGTATGCATGTAAAACCTAGGCAAACACGAGTCAAGCTTTGTAATCTCTACGACAGTTATGCGTGCCACAGCACTACAAAGTTTATTTCATGACTGTCGTTTTTCAATTATATGAACTTGACAGAACGGTTTGCGGAACCCCGAATTATATAGCCCCTGAGGTCCTTAACATGAAAGGACACGGTTTTGAAGCAGATGTGTGGGCTATTGGCTGCATCATGTACGCGATGTTAGCTGGATGTCCGCCTTTTGAGACATCTTCATTAAGCGACACGTATCACAGGTAGGAATAAATGAAAAACAGATTAAAGAAGATTTCTTTTTTTCGGCCTTACTTGAAACAGCTGATAGAAATACGGTTGCATTTGTAGTTCACGAATAGTCTGCTTATCGGAAACAAGAGTTCTCCAGAATTCTCCAATATGTAGTTGTATCTAATTATTGTTGAGAATAATTATGTTAACCAAGTTATTATGTTACCGGTGTTGATGCTTTTTCTGTATTCAACTAGACATTTAAGGCTGAAATTTCTTTTTTACCAGTTAGCGCCTTAATAGTTATCGGCGATGATTTGAACACCAAAAAAAAGCTGTTCCAATGTCCCATTTCGATCATTTATGAATTATTTTAAATAACTGCATCATTCTCTGGCTTCTGTAATAGAATTACAAATAATATCTACACAATTCCGGAAGGAGTTTCGGAGCCTGCTCAGAAGCTAATCCAGTGGCTACTTCGTCCGCGACCTCAAGATAGGCCCACCCTGGAGCAGATTCTGACACATGAATTTTTCACATCTGGTAAGTCCATATTATATTACATAGAATATTCCGTTTGATACAAGAAGCTTTTTATGTTTGTTTGCGCAGAACGTTTCTTAACTCGTCTTGCCTTCGGTTTAGTCTATCGCGTAGTTCAAATTAATGTAATTGAGTAAACTATGGGCAGATATTATAATAGCGCTATAATCAGTGAATCATTCATTTAGAGATGTAAACTAATTATTTCTCTTTCTTCAGGATACTATCCCAGACAACTCAGTCCGACTTGCTGCTACTCCGCCCCCCGCTTCTACAGCAAAAGTCCGGATCGGGAAAGCGATGCAACAAATAAATTGACGGCTATGGTCGCTAACATCAACATTGATCCCCCTCCTCAGAGAACAAAAGTAAGATATCTGATGAATCTTTATTTGTGAGTAACATTAACAACGATTTCGATTTCTTTAGTTCAGTGTAAATTATCTATATACTCAGTGATTTTCGAAAATGCTTTTTCCACAAAGGACAGCGGTTTTTGGCACTTACTGTTTTTTAGTGATCAAGTCCTAGCTTTTTCGAGAAAATACACTATTACTACAAATTACTCAAAAATGACCTACTAATAATAAATGGGCCCTATTTCAGACCCCACGAAGCCCTGCAGGGTCGCCTTTGCATAAACCTCAGCCAGCAAGTAGCCTTGGCAAGAGTTCGTTCCCGCAAGCCTTCCGTCAAAGGATTCACTCTGTTCTTTGTCCAGATACAGCCGGTAAGTTTAACGTAAGAACACAATATTTAGAATATCTCTATCATCAAAAATTACTGCTTTATTCTAACTAAAAACTTCGCCGTTATTATATATTGGACTAGTATCTATTCAGCCATCCCTTAATTAAATGCAAGGTGCGTTGCGTGCCTACAATCTCCTACTGTTTTTTTACTTGCAGGTCTGAAAAAAGGCAAGATGGGCACAACGATGCTATTACACCGGACGTTGGCAAGGGCTGTCGAGGAGATCTCCGATGGTATGTTGAGTGAGAAAGCGTAGACATGTTTTAGACACGTTGCTCGTAACGAGAAACGGAAAAATATGGACAAAAAGAAAAAAATGCGTTTTGAATAGTTAGATGAGGCTGATCACAGGCTAACGGGGTTTTAGGCGACGCTTCCCTACAGGAGCTCCCCTAGGAGAAATTTAATATGGCGTTTTTCCTGTATCGTAAGGTCAACCTTCGCCTCGTTCTTAATGTATCTTATTCCGGTTGGTGTAACTTCTCTACGGAGATCACCACATCATATTCATATCGACGCTAGCTTCAAGAGAGAGGGAGGCGGGGTGATGGTAGTGATTCTAAAAATTCTACTGCGAATCAGCGAGGCTGTCGCATATATTGTCAGTTGTGGAAACACCTATGAGTGGTGGTCATAGACGATCGTAAAGAGGCATCGCTGTGGGCCATGTTTGTACTTGACTGGCTTCGGCCTTTTCCTTGTCGATTATAGTGGCCTCGGAAGTTAACCCTCCTCCGGTAAATGGACTCTGCGTGCCGTTCGTCACCAAGTGGATCGACTACTCGAACAAATACGGCTTTGGCTTCCAGCTATCGGACCATTCAGTCGGTGTCCTTTTCAACGACACTACCCGAATTAGCTATTCAGCCAATAGACAGTAAGTCCTGTAATTACGCCGATCCTACTACCAAACGGATTATCTGTTATATATAGATACACACATGGTCAAAGCATTTTCAACTTACAGCTAAGTAGAGTCTACCTATATTTTTTTTTTGTTTTATGGATTACAACGAAATTCGGGTTTTTAAATGTCTTGGGATCTGGTAATGAAATCGGTTGCATATTGTATTTTTTTTTCTAAATGATGACGTATTTTTTTCAGGAGAGTTGAATACCATGACATTAATGGCAAAGTAAGTGTTTTTACTCCGGCGTCGATACCTCCAACCCTTGAGGATCGCTTCTATGTCCTAAAATACTTTGCCAATTATATGGAGGAGAACCTGAATGAGGTGAGAAAGATCTGTTTCTGCTGTAAACATCTTTAACTAGGTAATATGTTAGGATCATTATTATGACCAGGAAAAACCCCGTGTATCAAACCATTAGTTAAACCTATCCATTGGGCATTAATTTTTTCTCTAATAACCTTGTCAGCGCTCCTAATGTGGACGTGTATTCGTTTAATGATAGAAACGTTTTACCCTTGTTATATATTTCGTTACGTTGAGTGTATAGTCTTTCTCGCATGATATCAACGTGTTTCCCGTTAGCGCGATGACGTCCGTGTCTCCTTGCGTCCTTACGCCTATTTCGAAAGGTGCACGTTTATGTGTTTAGAGAAACAGTGTTCATGATTGTTATCAATTGCAGGGCGGTGACCTGGAGATGCAACAAGAAGCAATGCGGCGGAAACAGTGTATTCCGACGATGAAACGCTGGGTCAGGACTAACCAAGCAATTGTCATGCAATTGTCCTGCTCGACGTTACAGGTAATCAGCAAGTTGCACGGATTTCGTTACACTCAACCCCGTTCCCTATGACAATAAACCATCGACCAAGAAGCTACCTAATCTAGGCGGTCAATGCGGATATATTTGAGTGCGATGCAATGGTAACCATAAGAAATACGCATGTTGGCAAATCTTAGCATTGACAAAAATTATAACTCGATAGTAATAAAGTATTAAGGGGCATACGGATTTATTATTAGAACTAATAGATGCTTGCTTTGTCGTTTCATAGATCTGTTGAAGAAACCACTACAAGGCCTATTTCGGGCAGACTTTCAGCGGAGGGAAGTCCGAATTAGCTAGAACAAACTATAAAAATGAAAAAAAAAATACTCTTGATTACTTTAACTCGCTTCTAGCCTGTGTTTTGTCGGAGTCCTTTCAATCAGAAATGATCGATGCACCCATTACTTTACAATTGCTTACATCAGGCACTCACTCAAGCTAGCATGTGCTCCAATATTATAACCTGAATGCATTCTGCGGGGTAACGCGTTACTGTTGTTTACATAATGAGACAGACTTTTCCTTAATTTTGTTTCACTAATATATTTATTCTTATGTTTTTGCTTACGCTTAAAGAGAGATTTATCGTGACTGTGGCCTTTGCTTTTTAGGTGAATTTTCTCTCAGACCATACGAAAATGGTGGTAAATTGTGAGAGGCCTTCGGAACCCCTGCTTATGTACATCAACGAAGAGCGTAAAGGCATGACGTACTCTCTCAATGAGCTGGCCCGTGTCGGTTGCTCACCTGCCATACGATCGCGTATCCAGTACGCCTTAAACACACTGCAGGACCTAATAAAAATTCAACAACAACAACAGGTCTGAATGAGGAAGCGTCCCAGATATTGTCGGATCGTGGAATACGTATTAGTGATTTGTAAGAGCAACAAACAAACTGTGCCATTCTGGCATGCAAGCAGGTTTTCCCGTCGTTAAGTGACGATTATGCTGCTGCTGTTAATTCTGATTATGATTACTCTGCTGACATCACCGCGCTAAGCTGCCCCATATTGTGTGGATCTGCCCGTGCCCCTGAGCCATGTGCCTGCCTAGAAGTATTTGAAGTACCTTGAAACGCGGGGTCCAGTTAAATCCGGGCCGACAATGCTCGACAGCGGTGCCTACGTAATGACTGCCAGACAGCGCGGGCGAACCCCGCAGACCTTGCTGATGAAGAAAGACGACTTAATCGATTAGGATAAGCCTTGCAATAAGCACAGAGCCTCCGATCTCAACGTACCGTAGCCGATAGTCCTGTCGATTATGATGAGGCGTGTAGGCAACTATGAACTGGGCAGACTCAATATGTTCATTCTAGACAAAGGCGTTTAGACTAAACATATTGTTGGTATAGAAATATCAGCCTATCAAATAACAAAACGTACGCAACTATGCCTGCCATACTTGCCGTGGTGAGACGTTAAGATTATGTCAAGATTACGCCGATGCTATGGAATGAAATTTTGCCGTACAGCTGCGATTGACTGTAAACTATAGTGATTGATACCAAGGAAGAGAGAGGATGCCGATAGGTCAATGGAAATCGTTTTGTTAGAGCAGACGCCGCTGAACGTTTCCCCCTTCCCCACCGTACTCTTACGCCCTCAATCAAGTTCATAGCCTTATCCTGAAGTAATTACATTTTTGTCTTGGTTGCAGTACTAATCGAGAATTACCCAACTCTACATTAGCCGAGTGAACTGTTTTTACCTCTTGTTTGAGACGACTTAATTTATAATGTCGTTATCTTTAAGTAATTCGTCTTATCTAACCGGTTAGCCTTATAGAAAATTGATGAACTGGTTGTTAGCAAATGACTGAAGGCATCGACGTTCGATTGTAGAAGAATACAGCGACATAGGCCTGATTGATTGAACGCTATTGAGAACGGTGTCTTAGTGATGGAAAACGTGGAGACATTTCGGTTGGATGCCCGTAGTCCTCCTCTGGGGACCTCGGAAGCACTTCTTCTCGGTGAACTCCTTTTTAGCCCTCTGCTTGCAAAAACTAAACGATTGTCAAGGCAAGAACCCTTGAAGGCAAAGGTGACACGTAACATTTTTTTTTTATCTCTTATAATTGTTTCTACAGAATGGTTCTATTAGCGGACCGGTTACTAGTAGAATTAATCAATCGCCATATATTTACTAAAGACTAGGGGCGTCATCCTGTTCTACTTGATGCCTTGTCCCAAACACGACTAAGACAAGTCAAACACTTATATAAGCGTGTTTACAAGCGGCGATCGTATACCCTTACGTATAAATATAGATATGTTCGTTTTATATAATAAGTACTACTATATTAATTACTATTATATTATATCCAGTTACTGTACAAGCAGTATATGATAGGAATGTATATGATGTGTTTTGTTTTTTAACAGCACACTGCGTGGAGGGGTAACATTTTCAACACAAGTTTGGGGCGCGCTTGTGAATTGAAGACGGTCACCGCACCGCTGTTGTCGTCGTTACCATTCGCCGCCGCTGTTCAATCTTTTAGATATTCGAGTCATTTATGATCTTGGCTCGGTTTCCCCGAGTAACCGATGCCACAGACTCAGTAAAACGGCCCTGCGAATTACCGTGAAAGGCGCCTGATCGAATTAGACGACAACGGACTAAGTGCCGTCAGACAGCATCAAAATTTTCCCGTCACCATCATTTTTCACGTTGGTGTCCTTTTTTTTTGAGACAGGGACACTGTCACATACATGTCCATGAGGTCAGGGCACCCGTCCGAGCAGAAGACATTTGCAATTTTTTGAGGCACCTTGTCGTGTTTCGTGCTCGCCCGGGGTGTTGCCACAAACAAACTGGCCACTGAGAGGGAAATAACGCGTACGATGACATGGACACGCGCAACAATGCACGGATATAATAAGGCTTTGGGTGAAGACAGCGGCTATTGGCTGTGGCAGTCGTGCGCAAGGTATCCTTATCTAGAGCTTTTTCACACAGCCAGACAAGGAGAACAAGACATTTCGGAACTGCGTTAAGTAGCATCGGCCGCGCTGAAATGGCCAATCACTTTTTTGCGGGTGTATTACGTTGACACAACCATTTTAAGGCTCGAAAAGTATGACTGTTCTAGTAGCTTCAATAATCGGTGCTGGTGCCGGTCTGGAAGGCAGGTACTTTTTGTTGAAAAGTATAGAATTGGGTCAGTTATAAAGCTACAAACAAGTCAGGCTTGTAGTGTACCTGTTAGTTAAAATTAATGCAGACCATGATTGTTAGTGACTCGCGTCCGTTGTCCGAATAATAGAGTACACAAATAAACTCCTTATAAACAGTAGATTAAAGCGAAGAAAAAAGGGTGAGAATATCCGGGCTATCAATTCGTTTCATGTTTAATACGCAGATGAATTTCGTACAACTGCTTTACTCAGAAGGTGTTGCATGATAAAAATTACGGTTACATAGGGGGAGTTTTCTCTGGTGCCCGCGGACCCAAAATAATTAGATTTGGGGTTCGACTGCCAACTTTAACGTGGCGACTTTTTTGACGATTTGAATCCATGAACTTTAGATACGTTTTGAGTAAAGTGAATAAGGTTACACTTCTTACCGAAATATATAAAGTTACAAATTCGCCCCCTTTGGTGCTACGGGCATTATTGCTTGATGCCGGGTTACTAGAGCTAAGCGGTACCACCTTCCACGAAAAAAACTCAGGAAAGTCAATAGGACAATAATTTCTTTTCAACCCACCTTCTAACAAATAACGTCACAATGTTCGAGGTTACTAGAGAACCTCCGATCAGGCATATTTGTCAGATTATGACGTTTCAGTGTCCTTAGAGCTGTGTATAGTAAACGACTGGAGAAAAGACGCGACATGCTGTGGTCGTTTGCTGCAAGCAGCACAGCTGGAAAGAGGGAAAATTTAGTACGGGAGCAAGCGTAGGGTCCTGAAGAGGGTGAAACGTGCCATGTGCCACCATAGCCGTCTCATTAGTACAGTGGACGGACGCCATTTACGAAGCGGAAAATGCAGCGAACCCCCAGCTGCAGCAGGAGGACGACTGACGCGATGAGCTCTAGACGCAATCATAACCTAAGACTCCCCAAATATTATAGAGAGGAAAGGGAATAGAACCCAGGCTCGTGCAAAGAGAGAAATTGGGTGGGTGACAGTTTCGAGGTCGATGTCTACCTTCACTCGTTGCGCGCATTACATACATAATCGCTATCGAGCATCACAGCAGCTGATATCATTCTCGATCACTGATCATGGCGGACATTATTAAGGCATATATAAATAAGTATATAAGTATAACGTATATATAAATAAGTATTATATATAATATGTTCGTAATGGCTATATATATATATATATATATATATAGCCATTACGGATATAACGCGTAACTGAAGGCTGACTGGCTGATTGATTAATCGGTTGATTGACTGTAATCATGATATGTTAACTGCTATAAAAGCAGGATGACAGAACGTTGGGAGTGTAATTTTCTACAAAGGTGCCAACGAAATATTGTAGACATAATTATATAACGGAGAATAAGAAATGGCAAATTTCGTATTGATACAAGACGTTGGACGACGTTGAACGTTCGTCGCGACTGTTCCAATTCGGGTTACTGCGATAATTTGACGAGATGAGGTACGTCGTCTATTCGAAATTAAGGAATTAGAATACAACAGTGAAGGTGTACGAATAAGATGAGCGGAAATGAAAACAGAGACAAAATGTGCGGAACGTTCGCGTATAACAGATGCACCGCAGGTAAACGTGTATTGTGTACATAGCAGGCAATAGGCATACCCTTAGCAGCTATATCGTACTGTTGGCCCTCATCGGCGACAGTCCGGCCTTCTCAACGACTTTAGTCATTAAGAAATTCAGAGTGGTTACTGTAAATAAACTTTTGTACTCAACACAGAACCGAGTGATTTTGTGTATTTCGTTTAGAAGATTAGATAGTGCTACGTATAGTGCCGCTATTGTAAGCTAGCTAACAGAGAGTGCGTTGATGCATAGTGCTCAATTGTCTCTTCTCCGTCATCTTATTACAGCCATTTCATTTCACTTCTAATAGATTTCGCCACTTGGACACTTACACTTAACGGTCCATGTTTCACATAGTTCGCATATAAATCTGGGCTTGTAACATGCCAACACGTGATGAAGGTCAGATGTTTCGATATCATCTTTGCCCCACATCAGTTTTTACCCTTCAGTCTTGGTTTTTTGTCGATCCTTAGCGGATCCGAGACCTGTCATAGAAAACATTCTTGAAAGCGCGGTTGTCAGTAGTCGATTCTCGTGAACAGGCCAATCGCCGTAACGGCAAGGAAATATTATAACGAGTACCAAAATGTCAATGGGTAGAAAGGCTTGGGTATTTATTTACTGCTCTTTACAAGCGTTTTACATAAATACATATATGTAACACAGTCGTCTCTAGATCACCTAAACTTAAATACTTGCGATTTTAGATTTAAATAGTGAACCGCGCAGTAATATACGGTAGCCGAGTGAAAATAAAGTCGTGTGAAGCGTATTACAGTTATTCTTTGTTTTTGCACGATGTGAGAAAGCTCGATGGATGTTTAAAAAGCCGCTAAATTTGAACTTTGGTCGTGTATATTTCATACAACAAAGCAAATAAATGTAGACGCGTCAATTGCTTGAAACGGTAGGTAGTGGAGGGGAGAAAAAGAGGCAGGTAGTAATGTTGAAGTTGACTTGATCGTAAAGGCGTTGACTCAGCCTGCAATTCTGCTTTTCTGCGTAAATAAAACGCCGCATGGCTGAGAAGCTTTCTGCAGAATCGGCTACTTGGGCAACTCGAGGGGACCTAGGCATCGGCGTAGGATTGTTTCCGGTTGAGTGGCCGAGGGCTCTATGTTACGCTGTGAACTAAAAACGTGAACGTACTTCCGCAACAGGCCACCGCGATAAACTAAGTTGGTTGTTCAGCCTTTTCGACGGAGCTTTGACTCTTCCCAGTCCGCTTTAATGTTCCATAATTATGCCGTCATTGCTTCGCCGGCACCCATAAAGCTCTTACAATATAATACTACGCTAATAAATTTCATAGCATACTGTGATAGAATCACTACAGTAAGGTTAATACGCAATTTATTATTTAATACTTTTAGTAGGCGATGAGAAACCCCTCTCTTACATTACTTTCGAAACTAAAAACACCTTTTTTTTTTTTAAGTAACGTCAAATATGTCCTAGTGTACAACCATATGAAAAGTTGATCTCTGTTCTTTTCCACATGGAGCTTTTTAGTGCACGTCTCGCATGCTAACAGTCTAAATCTATACATGTATATATATATATATATATACATGTTCGTAATGCCCAGAAAAATAGTAACTCGCTGTTAGGGTATACGTGCCTACTAATCGAGATATGTTTATCAACATAGGCGCGCGTTATCGACGATAAGACGGATATATTTTTTCTACAATGTTCTATGTTACAATTCATACTCAGCTGTATCGGCTGCCCATTTCGCCTGTTTCCATTTCTCTCAGCATTTCAATGGTGTTTACGGAAGCATCGGGTCTTCATTTTGCGAATACCTAGTACCAGACGCAACACTTACATCTAATCAATGGTCTTTATCATCAGCGTTACAGCGTGACGCAATTTTCTTTATAACATCCCAGTCTTTAACAACTTAGTCCTACAATTAGCGAATATTAATTTCCATCTTTTATTTGTGCAGCTTCTTCTATGGGCTTCCTCTTCAAGTTTACCAGCTTACTTTTCCATAGCTGCCCTGTCAATTGCTCCTGTAGAGTTTTCCCCATATTGCTTAAAGTGTATCTCGAAAGGATGTTTTCTCTTGGTTGTTGGTAACTGTTGAACGCAGTAGTAGCAGAAGCTTTTCATTCTGATAGCCCTTAGCCCCATGCTACCGACTGCCTCCGTCACTACTATAGCTAGTACGGTTCCTTCGCTTGGCACCTTCTCAGGTAGAATCCGCAGACGCCAAATTTTCCCTTCACAAGTTGCATCAGCACTGGGGCGCGTTTAGCAGGCAACCGTTGTCCTAGACTAATCGAAGTGGGTGGGCCCGGGGTCGCCACTGCAACGGAAAATGTTCAAGCAGACACAAATACATTCCTCTGTACATACTGGAGAGGTTTACATATCGATAGCTTTTTCGCCCAATGTGGCGTATGCGTAGTTTGACGAGTACAAACTTTAGCCAGCTTTAATTAGATCGACTCTAATTCGATCGAAAGAACAACACCATTCTAAATAGGTACTGTGAACATAATGTGTACATGAGGCCCAATGTACAACCTGTTATAGATTCGGACAAATGTTATGTGCATACGTTTGGCAAAATTTCATTGAAGCTGTTCTTCATGTTAAAAGCACATAACTATTGTCAATAGACTGATGCAAATGTGTAAAACATTAACACTAGTATGTTTTTCATTAGAATGAATACTTTCACATTTATGGTGGTCGATTTGTGTGTTTTCGGATTCAATCCGGAAAATTGTCTTGGCCACAAGTAGTTGAACCTCTTGTCGAAATCAAGCTAGGCAGACGTATTCGGTCAGTGCTTCGATTCGTGTAACATTTCCACAGAACAAACAGCCATCCAATTAGAAACGGTCAGATCGCACCTATGACATGATGCCTGATAACAGGAATGTTCAGCGGTTAGAAATCATTGCTTAATAACAGCAGATTAGTTCAATAAAAACATCCTATAGAAGGTGTACACGAAGCAGATGTGCGGAGTCCCCTACCGTGTTTCTGTTCAAATCTGCCAGTGGTCTATGTTACAACGTAGCGCGACGAATTGGTTTTGGAAAAATATGAATAAAATACGCCTATTTGCTTGGGCCTAACGGCAATAGGGTTATCGCAGTTTTTTTGCTCTGCTGATGATCGCAAGCAGCGTTCGATCACTAGCTTAACGGATTGAGTCTGGAGCCTCAGATTTTCTTTATTAAGCTAGCGTTGGATAGCTTCCTGTTTTACATACGACTAAAATTCAGGAGCCGTCGTTCAATGCGTTCATGCGATATTACTCAGTGTAATAATCCAAGTTACTCATGTAATTGACTTTCAGCTTGTTCGAAATATTTGGTACTGAAGCAGAAGAAGAGAAAGTCATTTCTTTATAGTTCAACGAATGTTAAAAAAAATAGCCCATATAAGCTCACCTCCAATAGTCTGAAAAGCAAATTTTGCTTGCCAAATCAACCGACGAATTAATATGGCGCTTTGCAGGGTGTATATATTCATATAACTTTAGATGACACATATGTACCTTAGAAATGCGGCCCGTAAAGTTCCATCGCTATATAACTTCGTATCTCCTACTTGACCTATAAATATCAAGTGATGACAACGATAAGGCCCACACATTTAAGGCAATACTTATATTGAAACTTAAAATAATCAACGTACATTTCGTGTGCAAAAATATGATTACTTCCCATAATTCACTTACATCTATAAGTTCCTTTAGCCCTTGGGTCAGAAACCAAATGATTCTCCCTACTGTCACAGGATGTGCGGGACTGGTAGGATTCATTTTGATTAGTACTTGTTTAGATGTACGGCCCTGCCAGCGTTTTGGTTTCCTCATGACCCCCCTTTTTCAAGATCGTTCAACCGCAGGAGGCGGAAGCGCGAAGGTGGTTTTACGAAAACAAGGCCCAGCCTGTGTTTTTTCTAGAACGCACATGCTGACCTAGAACAGCATGCGAGGGGACACAAATATACTTATTTTTCTCTGCGCGGAAAAACAATCAGGAAACAGAATACGGCCTTGCAGCATCTGTACCTATCTTTTTTATTGCTCACCAACAACCCTGTTGTGTAGCGGAGTAGAGGTTCTGTTTAGTCTGTCGGTGGTATCTTGTTCAATATCGGTGTCCGACACCAGCTGATAAGCATCCTTTTCTTGTTAAGAAGTGCCAAATCTGCAGGTCTATGCGATAATGTGCAAGGATATGCCAGTAGTTTCTCGTATCGTTCAGCTGAAGAAAAATAGAAAGTGAGAATTTGCAGTAGTAACTTAAAAACATTTCGGCAAGAATCCTTTGCGTGGAATTTAGTCGTGTGGTTTGCCTAGCGGAATTGGGAAACGTCGTGTACGGACCCCTCTTTGAGCGTGCCATAGGCAAAAACGTAATGATCCCTGATTATCTTTTAAGTAACTAGGGTACTACGAAGTAGGATTTGACATACGGCAATAAGACGGAGAGCAGGTTCTGCAGTTTCTTGCATGGTTTATATTTATCTTTGAAAGCTTCTTATTGGTAGACCCGCTTGCCTGACTGTGGTCGGTTTACGGCCGAAATATTTTGGTTCCTATCAACCGTTTATTGCTATACTTTTGTTTGTAATCGGCACAATAAGAGATTGGGAAATTTAATATCCGGTTTGTATCGTAAGGATCCATCCTCTGGGATGTTCTCACCTTGCCGGTGATATGCTGTCCACCTAGGTAATTAAATGATCTCAAGTGAGCTTGCTAAGGAAAACTTCCAGTTACTCTATAATGTTTCAACAGTATATTTCTCCCTATTACATAGGTAATAATAGCCACTGGGCTGCATGACTTCTTTGCTCTGTTAATTACCCGATTCATTTTTGAAAGCAATATTAAAAACAGGCAGAATATCGCAACTTCTCATTTTTCGCGTATCGCTTAAACTGCAAATTCTAATAGAACTTAGATCATTATCAGCATTAGGCAAACTTTCTGAGCGTGTTATTTAGCTTCAACACCTGAGATCGTCGCCATCTTACGAAACAGCTTTGCTCTCTCTCTTGTTCTTTGGTTCGCGAATTTTGTTTACCTTACATACCTCGTAGTTCGCTTCATATCACTCAGCGGATCCGTCTAAGCCTACGATGGCCTAGCGCATTGCAGGCAAGGGTTGACTCGCAAAAT